TGCCAGTCATAATTAAAGCCTCCAGAGGGCTACATCCATCCTTGGCTGGTTTTATTCAAGCTCCTTAAGGACAATATCCCTGTGTGAAGTAAATAAGAAATTTAGAATGACATGTGTTCATGTACCCTTATTCTCTCAATGACTTAAAACAGATCAGGCAAGATCTAGGAGAGTTTTCAGATGATCCTGATGAGAACATTGGGGTCATTGGAGGACTTACTCAGACCTATAAAGTAGGTTGGAAAGATGTAATGGTACACTTAAATCAAACATTGTCTTCTAATGAGAGACAAGGAGTAATGCCTTTAATCTGTGAGTTCCTTAAGCATATTACAGATACTCAAAGATGAATATTTTCATAATGATTTTAAATAGAGTCTAGCCAGCACTGATGAAGATGTGACTGGATAAAGAACCCAAAATGTCTTAAAGATCTCCATGTCCTAGGGCTGAGATTTGTTCTGGACTGTTAGCTGCCTTTTCTCTGCCAAGAGGCAATAGAGCTCTTTTGCAGGCTTGGATTTAAAAACCTTTGATTTAGAGTCATATATTAGAAAGAAAGATCTAAACAGCATAATTGCACCTCTTACAGTTTCTCTCACTCTCTAGTAAAAGGCTAAAAAGCAGCCGTTCAGGTCCTTTGATTGTTGGTTTTGTTTTCTGTTTGGCAATACATTTGGAGTCAATTATAACTTTTTTCTCTGGAGACATGTTTTGCTAAGGATAAGAGAACCACCTTGGGAAAACTACTGCTATTAAATGTCCTGGTGCATCTGAGATGGTTCAGATTTATTTCTCATGTTGTACTTAGAGTCACTCTTCAATCCATTATCTACTGCCATGCCCCTGAGAAATAACACAGTTTACAACATTGTTTCATTCAAGGCAAGTCTCTCCTCTATGGCTGCTGAATTTCAGGACCAAGTCTCTAGAATGGTGAGTTTCCCGTCCCTGGGATCTTCCCATGGTAAAGCTGATCTTCACATTTCTCCAGGCTATATTCTAAAATACTGGTCTAGATGTAACTGTGAAGCTCTCAAGGAATAAATGTCCAAGTTTTAGTCCAAATTTATCTACCTTTTAGTCCTTAGATGGAACTGGAAATTAACTCTTCTTTCCCCCCTCAAAATGAGCCAGAGAGTTTTATATAGCACAGGGCAGACTGACTGGTTTTTATAGCACAGATAATTTCACGGAGAGGATGAAACATTCCTAAGAAACTGTATGAGTACAATAACAGTTTTAAATAGAAACAGGTGTTTAAAAGAGGCATAGTCCCTGTCCTCAGAGGACTATTTCTCTTGCCATGATTTCTCTCCAGATCATCTTGCAGACAGGACAGTATTCTCAGAGATAATCACCTTTAATAAGAAATGCTGGGGACAACAAATTCACAATGGCTAGTTTTACATACTTCTCTAAGGGGTAAAAGGAAACTTGGGATTATTGGTAACACCTTTTAGAGATTTCCCATTATTTCTTTAGGGGTGGACCATTCTCTCCCTCTGACTAAGACTAAGACTAAAAGACTAAGACTAAGACTAAGACTAAGACTGAGACTGAGACTGAGACTAAGGCTAAAACTAAGACTGAGACTAACTCAACGCTAACACCACTAACGCTAAAGATGCTCCAAGGCAAGATCCTGATTAGCTTAACATCACCACTGCTGTCTGAGTCATCTGATCATCCCCTCTCCATTTTCCTCCATCAATAAATACTGATGTTCCAGTTGCCTTTTGGAATTTTGTTCCCCATGTACAACTGATGACCCCAAATGCCCACTGCACTACCATTTTTTCTCTTGCTCTGTCTCCCTTCCATGCACCTTTTCAACTGGCAATAGCTTGAAGCCAACTGCAGGGGTGTTGCATAATGTTCCTTTAAACTTCATTTGCCATTCTTTCTCTCCATTCTACTATTCACAGAACTCACATTCGTGGAAGCCCTGCCTACTATGTGCCCAACTACAATGTCATTACAAATAACTCATGGTCATCTTTTCCATCATTTTGTACTTTTTTCTGACTTTTGTCAGAGAAAAGAATTGCAACAGAAAATCCCCCGGGCTCTTCCTCCTGTGTCCCTACAGAATTTTGATCATGTGTAAAAGTGTATGTGAGTAGACGGGGCTTGGACAAAGTGCAAACCCTCACATTCTGCACAGAGGCCTCTGAGACAGGGTTAGTGGACACATGTTGGTGGCCCTTGGAGCTTCCTCTGAGCTATACTTTGTTCCTGCAACCATCCACTGCTTAGTGCACATCATAACACCCTCACAGCCTCTAGAGTCACATTGAAATAGGGGGAGAGGAGGACAAATTGAAATGGGGAAATTCCTGGAAATGCTTCTCTGCTTTCCTGCTCCATGTGCTTTGAGAAGCTTGGAAGTTCCTTTGATGTTTCTTAAAGTTGAGGGTCTTCTCTGCAATTGTAATACCAGATCCTATCAGAATTACTTCAGCATCAATGGGAAGTTGTAATATATGCAATGAGAATTAGTTAATTTCCGCAGTAGGTTTTCAGAAAATATTTACAGGAGGCCAGAGTAACACAAAATCTGAAAAATGAAGTGTCGTATGGAAAGGCAAAGTGGTGTGATTTCAAAAGAAGCTGCTGTCATTGGTTGAAGGATGAGATGCCTATAAATATGAAACAGATTTAGGTTATTATGAAGACATAGGTGGGAGAGATACACAGATACACAAGTGCTGGAGCTGTATGACAGAGTCTGAGCGGCACCACAGAGGGAAGAAAGCCAACACTGGGGGGACACTAATAAAGAAGTTTACCTAGATAGAATTGGTCCCCCCAGAAAGAAGAGCTTGAGACAAGGGTTTGCATGCAGGATGATGAAAAGTGACTCCAGGAAATAGGAGAAGGGCTGACAAATGAAAACGAAGAGAGGGAGAAGCCAACAGAGGGAGTTCCCGAGTTCAGCTCTGCCATGCACCTGAAGGCTGTCTTCTTACACCTCCTCCTTTGGTTGCTAGCTTAGATCCAAGCCAAAAAATCATGTTCTTCAACCCACAGCAGCAAACAATATATCTGAAGTTAAGTCTTGTGTCTTTCCAAGATTTTACTTTCTCAACCTCTTCTTTCTCACGACAGGGACAGTTTGGGGTGAACCATGTACAATGAAACTGTGGATTGTCAAAGTGAGGGATGGACATCCATTCCCACAGCACTTTGTCAAGGGCTTCTTATAAGCATAGGTGCTCCATGCAGCTGAGATGACAGGTTGTCAGATGACACCTTCTCAAAGCTTGTTTCACAGAAATGCAGGATGAAAGGCAGGCTAACCAGAGGAAAGAGGGTGATGGGAGAGGATTCAAGAAATATCCACATTAGTATCCCAGGCAGTGGAGCAACCTGACTTTATTGAAGAAGGATAGGTTTTTGAACATATTTTTTGTGGCTGGAAAATTTGACTTCAGGAACTGGCATGCATTGCAAGACCTGATACTTCTGTTTGTCATGCACAAGAAGGCTGCTCTTCTGAGGAAATCGTTTTTGTCATGTGCACATTCATGTTCAGATTATTATAATGATTACAGACTGCATGTGCTTGGGTCATGTGTCTGAAGGTTATATTACAGTTTTTGCCTAGTGTAATGCTCACAAAATGAACCATTGACTTAAAACTTCCCCACAAAGAAACTATAGATCAGATAAACTACTGAAATTCCAGAAAATAGATTAACAGTAAGATCATATCATAGTTGATGTTTCTATTTTCAATCAATTCATGAGATAAAATAAGGACAGTACAATTAGTTCTGAGAAGCTGCCTGATCTCATTGAAACTGAGATCAATGAATTTGTGTGTGTGCATGTGCATGTGTATGTGCATGTGTGTATGCATGTGTGTGTGTGTGTGTGTTTAGTCTTGTGAATCTTTGGAGAAGTTTACAGTATTTCAGTGATAAGTACTAAGGTTTTACAGAAATTGAGAATAGGATATCAAATTAGCCTGGAAATAGACACCATTTAGCAAGTCAACAATTTATATGCCCAGAATTTGTCTTTTAAAGAGTTAATTCCCCAAGGAGTCTCAAAATGTCATCTCTCATTTTTATTTGAGGCAATGGAATTCTAGTTGCTTGAAACTGTTTTAGGTAGTAAGGTAAGACATGTGCATTCTGGAGTCTCTGTTCACCCTCTCCATCCACCCAGCACCACTCTCAAGCTTGTTCTCAGGTTGTTCAGGAGCTTCTGATGTACAATGAATGACACTTTGGAGTATGAATTGATTTACAATCATCAATTTTAACAATCATAACTAAATTGCATATCGTGTGGAGGAATGCCATGTCACCCTTCTCCACACACAAGTGTAGCTGACTGTGTTTACTTATAAGCAGTGCAGGACACATAGAGATGATGTTTCTAAATTTGCTTTCAGTTTAATTAGTTAATATGGCTGAGACTGGGTCCATACCTTCATGAAAGCAGGTGGGTGATAATGGACTAATATAGAGTTTATTATCAGTGGCTGTGTTTGAGCTCAGATAGACCAGCTGCGATTAGGGCTAAGATATGAGATAACATCTCTGCTGAGGTCTGTATGACTCCATAGTAAAATTCCTTTTCAGAATTGGCTACAAGGCAGATTACTGATTAACTTTAACTAAATCGGGCTCCTTGGCAAGAATGCTTTATTCTCTCTGTTGCAAGACTTTCCAGCCTTGCCACTTGTTTAGCACATTCAGTTGCAATCCCCTCACCATTTACCCGAGTAGATAAACACCGAGGTGCACTCCTCTACTTTGTCTCTTTCTCTTTCTTTTCTTTTCTGCCATGCACTGAAACCCGGGCAGGAGATTGGAGCCCACTGCAGGCATCTCCAACAATACAGTGTGTCAAATGGTTAACTTACGATATTATGAATCCACCATCTTGATACGTTTATCAAGACATATAAATTTTTTATTTTACATGTATTTTGTTCTTCACATTTACCTTTTGGGGTATATATTGCAATGTTTAAAACAAACATATAAAATTAATAAGTAATATTATTTTATTGACACAATTGTGCAAACAAGATCATTTGGGATCTCCACCTCTGGGCCAGGGGTTGGCACAGGAATTGGAATGGACAGTGCCTGTAAAAAATGTATGGGTAGATGAAAGTGGACTTGATAGCTGAACACATGGTGGGACAATTTCAGCAAAGAGTGAGAGTGTCTCTTTGGCTTCCCAGTGATATGTTGTTAAGTGAGTGACACAGTGCAGAAATGAACATCTGGAGGAGGAAATAGTGTTGGGACAATCAATGAGAAGGGGTATTGGTGGGTTGAGATGTTGATGACCTCATCAAGGCCCAGTGGTCTCTTAAGATGAGTTTCTCTTTTCTGAAATAAAAGACTGATGCTCTATCTTGGAATTAGCAACCCACAGCCCAGACCGGATTTAATTCTTAGGGTTTAAATAGAAGTTGGTGCTGTCAGTTAAGCCCCTCTCTTGGGTGAGGAAGATGGGTTGACTTGGCACAGATGAAGTGGCTATGAACCAACCAGGGTAGGAGACGGATTGAAAGGCAGAGGTGGAGCCCTCCATACTGTGGAAAAACAGAAAAGCCTTTTGTGATGTTTTCTCCCGGTACAGGTCCATGATGTCGATCTCCTGGTGTAAGAAAACAGGCTTGTTAGTGAGGAGCAGGAAGAGGCTGGGCTGTCCAATCAGGTATCTAGTAGTCTCAATAGCCTAGCTCCACCCCAAGGTCCCATGCCACAAGGTGCTACTGATTCTTTACTAGTATAGAGGGGAGTTTGCCTTTCTTTCTTGGGAGCTCCTGGTACCCATTCATCCTGAGGTGCAGGCCAGCCTCATTGGATTACCAGGCTCCAAATGGGCTTATACATTACACCTTTCATAATTAGTTGTAGTGCTATTTCTATTACTCTAAATTTTCCTTTTAGCACATGGATATAAACTGTGACTCTGCTAAATTGAGATAAACAATCTGTCTCCTTTTGCCCAGTGTGATTTTCTTTATCTAATGAGAGCATCTCACTGTCTTAGAGGATTTTTAGGTGTAAGTTTATTTGGACTAAGTAGTCACCATCCCTTGACATTTCAGAAATATCTAGGTGGGTGTTATGACCATCCTATAGTGGCATTTACTAATTTGAGAACTAGAAAAGTCGAGTTTCTGTGCTTGTGGTGATAACTCAGGATTATAAAACTATAACTTTCCTTCTGTAATACACAAATGCAAAAATGTATTACAATTTTTGTACTACAAAAATTTCATTTGACAAAGATCTCAGTAGCTGTACATCCACTTACCTTAAGTTGTAAAGTAGGCTTTCCCTCAGTTTCTGTGCAGAAGAAACTAAGATTTTTGTCCTTGATTCCCAGGTAAACTAGATTGCCTTTTTCTTTATCATGATGTTCTGTGTCTCTGCATGCTATTATTGCAAGAGTGACTGTAAAGATAGGATAAATGGAGAGGTAAGCAGCAGGAAGCCAGCATTCCAAGCTCACACTCACTTATGCTTCTAAAACAAGAGACAGTGAGCATTCAGGACATCTCTCATGGGTTTTTTGAAGTAAGCACAGGTAGAAGACACTTTCACCATTCTTAAACCCATTTCCTTTTCCTTCCTTAATATCAGAACCTCAGTTCTTACCAGGGCACATTACTTTCCAAGTATAAGAATAAAATATACCACCAACTTTGCAGGTAAATGTGGTCATGTGCTTCAACTGTAACCCATGAAATATAAATGGAGGTATGTAGTATTTCTAAAAGTACTTTTTTCTAAGTATTATGAAGGGAAAACATCTCTTAAAAGGAATCTGAAAAAAAGAGCTAGTGTTGTACAGTAGAATAAGATGAAGAGTTAAAAAACAAACTTACTAATCATATTAGTTGTGCATGAGGGCTCAAGAAATATGAGATCAGAGACATGTCCTTTGAGTTTGGGTATTTGAACCCTAGCTTTGGAAAGTGGAGCTCAAGCAGGAGTGAAGAGCAGCCTACAGATCATATTGCTTTGATGTAAATATGAACAAGAATTGTAGAGAAGTTATGTAGCCATCACTCTCATGAAATTTGGGTGAAATTCAGCTATGATTGGTGCAGGAAAATAGAATGGTAATATGAATAGAATGCTAGCATCAAGAGGAATTTGTAGTATTAAGGTTATAGAAGTTACACTGGAGGTTGTAGGAGTTACATTCTAGATAAAGGTGGAATATGCAGCTAATAGGCAAACTAGATCAACACAGAGGTACAGAAGAAAGGTAAAGAAGCTGAGATAGACTGACTTTTGATAGAAGAAAAGGTACTATTAGAAAAGAAATTGCCAGTTATGACCAGAAGATGCCAAATTAGAAGAGACGATGCAATCTGATGTTAGAGGTCAGGGTGTTTGAATCTAAGGACATAGTCATAATTGTTGCACTTGAAAGGAGAGAAACCCCAAAGAAGTCAGCCATTGCTTGAAATGACAGTCTCTTCACATGGGAAGATTTTTTTTTTTGGTAATGGGAAATGTCATTTCCCCAAACCCCTGTACCTAGGTACTGGTTTTCCTATGTGGAAATGAGCCCTCTTGGTCTTTCTTGCACTTCTTTTGGACATGGAGCTGTTGCCCAAAAGTTGATGAGGACTAGGGTGGGCTCATACAGGCTCACTTTTATCCCCAGGGGATGTGGCATCATTCCAGGGAAAATAATGGCAATGGCTTTGAATACTACTCACCAGGCTCAATATTGTTGCTAGATGGAGCTGTTATTAATACGTTTCCCCTCAGGACCCATACCATCTGCTGAGAATCATGAATGTCATAGTGTCTGGGAATCTCTTGAACTGTAGGATGAGAAAAAAATCACAAAACACAGGTGAACTTATATTTAACTTTCAGAGTTTCAGCTTCAGAATTCTTGAGGCAGGCTTATGGTTCTAAGAAAATTTGGTTAGGAGAGTGAAAGGGAAACAAAGCAGGCTGGTTTGTGGCTGAAAACATCAGAAAGAATCTAAACATATCCATTGTCACAAGAAACATTCAACAGTTGCTTTCTTTTCTAGAGTTATCTTTTTCTGATTGACAAAGTATCTATGTAGTAAAAAAAAGGACAACTATTTCATCTAGACACCAGTATATTTTATCTTTCCTTTTATCTTCCTAGTCAAAATGAAGCAGCAATTCTAAATGCAGATAATTACAAAATAATTAAATGCCCCTAGATTTCCTAACACATATTTCTGGGGAGCTATTTAGCCAGAGCTAACATACTTATAGACTAGGAAATGTGGCCTTGCAAATTTAATGTCTTAAATTTGGATTTACCACTTACGTTCTTTTTCAGTCATTTGAATTTCCAATTTTCCGTGAGGAAGACAAGGTATATCAAAGGAGGTGAACAGGAGGTAATCAGCACCTGGTCATGGAGAGAAGGAAAACCTGTTACCCATTTATCTTCCCTTTCCCCTGGAATTTTGTGTAAAACTTTAGATAAAGCTTTCCTGAGTCCCAGTTACACATGTATTTTTAAAAATTTTCCTTTAGAAACCATACTTGTGCATGTAAATGGGTTTCATTCTGGCAGTTTAGTACATGCACATAACATACTTTGATCATATTCACCCCTATCACCTGCTTGCCCCACACTCTGCACTGGTATCACATAGGGGTGGATGGTTCAATGTATACAATATATTTTGCTCATCTCCTCTCCCTTATTATCTGCTCTTAAACCCCTTCTCATGGTCTTCCTCTTGCCTACTAATAGTCTCAAATGTAGATTTTAAAGGGAAGATGGTAAGAGCATGTTCCATGTCAGCAAACTCTTAAGAGAACAGAATGGAATGGAAACTTCCATCCCGTGTTGGCCAGGGCAGTCTTGGCTCTCCAGGTTGTGATGGCCTTGGGATGACATCCATCAGTGCATTTGAGATGGTTAGGACATTGCAAAGCATCAATACGGTCTTCTCCAGAACAGTAACCCTCTGAGTTCAGGGCAATGAGGGAGTGTGTCTATAAAAAAAGCTTAAAATACAAGTAAACAACACTTGTAGAACGTCAAACTATTATGACAAAAAAATAAGCTCACCATGGCATGTCCTTATTAAATTCCCAGATATCTAGCAAACTATCAGAATTTTGAAAATAGGTGAAGAAAACCAAAAAATTATATATAAAGGTAGAACCAATTAGAAATCTCAGCAGACTCTCAACACAACCCCTAGAGGCCAAGAGATTTTGTAGCAAAGTATTACAGGCCCTAATAGCAAATAACTTCCATCCCCAATGAACTAATCATGCAGAGCTATCCTTCAAAATCAATGACAAAATAGGGTAGTTAGAAGAAAAATACAGCTCAAAAGATACATAAGTAGTAATCCAACTGTGGAGAAAATATTTATATATATTCTCAACAGAAATCACAAAATAGATACAGTAAATACACAAAGTATATGAGCGAGATCAATGGATAAACATCAGCAAAAAATGCATGAAAAAGAAAAACAGAAGGTTCACCAACAAAGAAGGCAATGATATTAAATAACTAATACACCTAAGTAATATGTCTCAATGTTAATAGTCTCAACTCTCCTATTGAAAGCACAAATAGGCAGCCTGGATCAAAGAACAGAGTACAGCAATCTGCTGGCATTCAGGAAACTCCCCTAATCCAAAAGATATTCATAGATTAAAGGACAGAATACAACATTTCATGCACCAGAACCCCCAAAACAAGCAGGGATAGCATTTGTGATATCAGACATGGTGAACTTCATGCTAAAGCTCATTAGAAGACATAGAGAAAGTCACTGCATTTTACTTAAGGGATCAATCCAACGAGAAGAGGTAACATTCATAAACATAAATGCACCAAATCCTGGAGCACCTATCTTCTTAACACAAAAACTGTTAAAATTAAAAGATCAAATAAACACTAACCCCATCATAGTAGATAATAACAACAAATTTCTCAGTAATAGATCAATTAAACCAAAACCCAATAAATAACAGAAACTGACCCACACCCCTGAACATATGCATTTAAAAGATATATACAGAATATTCCAAAACTCTACAATAGAGTATACACTCTTTTGTAGCAGCATATGTTACTTTTTCCAAAATAGATCACATACTATATCACAAAACAAAAGAGGTCATTTATTAGTTCATAGATTAAGCACATATAAAATAATTTAATTTATCCCACATATAATATCAGGCCAATGTGGATTGAAAATAGAAAACAATGAAAAAACAAATTTCAAAAAAGTCGAAACCTTCTGGAAAATTAACAAAATACTCATAAACAACCAATGGGGTCACAGAAAATGTCATATCACAAATTTTAAATTTCTGGAAGTTAAAGACAATGACTATACAACTCAGTGAAACCCAGGAGTCATGATGGAAGTGGCTCCAAGAGGAAAATTCATTGCAATCAATGCTCACATTAGGAAAATAGAGAAAACCCAAATAATAACTTTTTGAGAAATCTAACGATACTTGACATATAACAACAACAGCCTCTGTGCAAAATTAATGAGGGAAATTTTAAA